GGCTGGCAATAGCTATCGTTCCTCTTGCACCACACCCAGTTCCGAAGTCTACTTATGCGCTTAATCAATAAGTTTTCTGCCGTGTTTAGTGTCCCTTCATCACACAAAATGAATAGCAACTTAGGCCCTACTGCTAATTGTACATACATCATCTGGAGGTGGGAGTACACGGAATCTACTCAAATCCCTAGCCAGTGCTTCTCATGCGTGTGCGACGCACGCAGGCGCAGTGCTTTATATTCCTTTGGTCTTAACGCAGTAAAACACACGGACCTTGCGAAATCTCTGGCTGAACGATTTGCAGACATGTTTTCTTCGTAATCGACATCTTCTTCTGAACCATTAACGAGTACAGCAACAGTGGATCTTTGCTAAAAATACCTCTGCAAGTGTCGCTGCTCCCGTACAGAAGCTGAAGTTCCGCATCCGTGCGACAAGTGCTCTCCCGACGCCGCATCTCCTCTTCGATACGTTGCTCCACTTCTATCAACTCTTGCTCAAGCATATTCATTGATATCTCTTTTTCGTCTTTTTCTGTGCAATCTTCGACGTCGGTGTCTTTCTCCTTCTCAACATCGGACGCTAAATATTGAAAATGTTGATAACCAGACATCTTTATGACAAAAATTTACCTTGTCCGCCATCGGGAGCGTCATCGGCATCGCGTTTATTGCTTTCCTCCAAATGCTTCATCAGCACGGCAACGACGACATTGACAAGGACAAATTGCGAGATTAGCACAAATATCACAAAGAAGCAAGGTGCTAAGATTGGATCTACGCAACAATTCGTTTCACAATGATCTGTCGAGTCACAGTCGTCCCGCAAGGCATCCTTAGATAATAGATATGTGGCTTTTCACACTTCGATTTTCAACGATTCAACCACCTTCATAATCCCATTCCAATTGTCACCTGTCGCTATGCGGAAGAGAGTAAGAAAAGCCATGCCAAAGTTTTTGAAGTGTGCATGTTCACCCAATCCGTCACACGGATGGTCTTCGGAGCATTCTAAACGATATGCACTGTCTGTCGCAGTCGTACAGCAGATGGAATTCTAGCAAAGATTACCGAGCTTCCCGAATAATTCTACGCCGAGAGCGGCGAAGATGAAAAAGAGGAGGAAGAACAGCGACCCGAGATTTCCAACCTGGAATTTATGGAATATGAAGCCTAACTGGAAGATCGGGTAGTATCAGCAGTATCAAATAGCGAATGATTTGCAACGAATGCTTTCAGCCTAAGCTGCGAAACGAGAATCAAAACCAGCTTACTTGTGGAAGTGCTTCACCAACAGTGTCCAACAAAGACCTGATTCCTTTTGCCATTTTGAGCAGCTTTAGTACTATAAAACGAATAATTTCAGTAAATTGCACCCTTTCTGCAAAGAAATACTTGATAAATTCAAGGGCTAATCTTGCAAAAATGCATGATCGTACGAGCTAGATTTGCTACTCTTTACCAGCCTTTACCTATTAGGGGTTAGGAATGTGAAGCCTTATATTTGTTACATAACCCTCTCTCAAAATATGGTACACAAGAAATTACAACCTCGAGCAATGCGTAGCACTCTCATAACTCGGATAATTGTCGGATTAATGGGTAGCTCAAGAGCTTCGAACTCTTCAAATATTATACCAGCAACGGATAGAAAGACAATAAACATGTCTAGTCGATTCCACCTAAAAAAGAGGTCAGTGATATGGATTTAACAAGAGGAAATTTCACCTTTCACTAAAGAACCTCCGCACACCAAGAGCCACGAGTTTCATCGCTGCTTCAAGGGTAAAAACAGCAGTAAAGAAATAGTTTAAGGCTTTCAGCACATATTTCAGGCCTGGCGGCATCATATAGAATTCCATAGCCATGGATATTACGTTAATGCCTATAGAAGAAGTTCTTCTTTTATGAAACTAAGGTAGAAACAAAAAGCTAACCTATTACTGCCGCTATAGCAAGGTCAAAATATTTCGATGTGACAACTCCATTCAGAAACATGCGTGTTGTGCCGTAATTATGCCAGTATGGTTGATTTTTCTTCACTAAAAACTTTGAGCCTAACAATCTGAGGGGAACGAAACGGTTGCTGAACTCACCCTTCTTTTTTCTGCCAGCCATACTCTCCTCATATTTTTGGCGTTTGAGTTTTCTTTGCAAGCGTTTTTCTCGTGCCTTCTCACGCATTTCCTAAGCATCCTTTAGTATGAGCCCTTTATCGTGAAATCATGAATGCTTACCTTTTCTAATGCTTCCTTACACTTGTGAAAATTTTCGACGACTACACCGACGAACATATTCAGGACAAAGAAACCCACAAGAAGCAGAAAGGAGATGAAGTAAATCATCCTCCATTCGTTGTAATTCTCAACCGGCTAGAAAAAGATCATTGGAACGTTAGAAATCAATTTTTCAACTTAAGAACCTGCAGGTCTACACCAACTGCGTCTATTCCTTGGTACATAATCGATACCCAGCCGTCTTTACTAGAAAGAACGAATAGCGACATCAACGCCTAAAATCTGCGCTGCACCTCACGGTTTTGTAATCGTTCGAAGCTATTACCTGGCCCAAGTTATCGAAGTTGTAACGGTGGTTGACCCACTTGTTCCTTGGATCGCGCAGACAATCACTTCTATTGGTGACGTTGGCTATATCCGGCCCCACGCAATGGAACATCATTCCCTAAGATTAGCGGTTTTACCGGAAATTGTGATCACTCCATGATCTCACCTTGAATAGCTGCACTCCGAGTATGCCGAATATAATGAAAAAGGTGCAACAGATGAGTACAATGTTTCCGATAGGCTTCAAGCTGGAAAGCGGCGTTACCATTTAATGATTTTTGAAGGATTTTGAAAAAAACTACAGGAGAGATCTGTAGCAATAGCATGGTTACCTAGATATGAGTGTCATCACTACAAGTTTGACACCAGGTGCTCGGTTGATAACTCTTAATGGTCGAAGAGCTCGCAGAAGGCGCAGCACTCGAATCACTCCAAAAATTTTTGGAGAGTCTAAACATAGGCAATCAGTTCATATTACTTATCTATCTTCAGCGCAAATGTTTCTACGACATTACTTGTCTTTCATATTGAAAACTACTGTCTCCATTATTGCGCTTAATTTTTTTTTTTT